TGCAGAGATGTTTAAAAAGGCACCGAAGGCTGATTTATTGTTGTAGAATTGTTGATGATTACTGAACAGCTATTATTATTTATTCTTTAAAAAAAAAAGGTGGCATTGGATGCAGTAATTTAGTCTGCTATCCCAAACCCCCATCTGTGCCAAGCCACAGCCCCTCATTTCTGAGGAGGGCAGGACAGGAGCCTAGAGAGACTTCTTGAAACCGTAAGTGAGCGGCAGAGCTGACAAGCTGCCAGGGAACTGAAGTCCCATCTCTGCTCTGTGAAAGGTTTCACAGGAGTGGCAGCTACCCGTCCTGAGCAGGGAAGACTGGGGAGAATAGGTGAAACTGAGAGAAAACTAGAGTTTTGAAGTTTCTTTTATTAAAAAAAAAAGAGGTATTTGCACTGGGAGGGAGATACAGCTGTACGTGTGTGTCCAGTGTACGTCGGAAAAGCTGGGGAGGAGAGTGCCCTTTTTCCATTAGTGGTATCTCAGCGGTTATCCGCAGCAACAGAGGTCAGCCACTTCAGGCAGGAGAGTGTTTTGGGGAGAGTCGTGTGTGCCTAAGAGGTAGCGAACACCCTACTTACAGGTGACTGTGGACTGGGCTAAAATAGGAACATTTGAAGCATTGTCTAAATGAACTAAATACGACGTTTAGTAAGTTACTGGGAAAAAACAGTGTCACCCCCAGTTTCCCTCTTCCACCTTACTGTTGCCTGCAGCACACCATCGTTGCGGTTTGAGCGAGCAGGTCAGTGAAGCAGAGAGGATCTGGCTTGGGGTGGTGGGATTGGGTCAGAGGACACAAGTAACACTTTAGGTGCAGCCATCCCTTGCCCCAGTGCAGCCCAGGCACAAGAGTATTTGAGAGCTGAAGTTGCAAAGCCAGCCATAGTGTGTCAGACCAAAGGTCCGTCTCGCCAAATTGTTGCTCAGGGATGAGTACAAGAGTTTGGCGAGCCCACAGTGATGCATTTAAGTCCATATTTCAAAGTATGCCTGAGCTTTTCTGTGCCCTTCGCTTTAACGTAAAGTCTGTCAGCCTCAAAAATATTCACAAAAATGTGATTGATAAGGTAGATTATCCCCGTTTATAGGTGGGGAAAGCCTCTGCCAGCTTAAGTGATAGGCCCAAGGTCAGCAGCAGAGCTGCCGATGTACCTCATCTTTTGTGAGTCATGGCCCAAACTTCAAAGGATCCCCTGAAAGAATGATCCTTGCTTGAATTATAGAAAACTTTAGAGATTAAGACAGAAAGCAGGAGTGTTTGAACAGCACAGTGGGATTAATCCTTTCAGCAACTGGGGCTGGAGAGCACAGGATGGGAGGCACATTCGGCTTCCTCTGTTACCAATAAAATTGTTGCATTTGTTTTTAATCTAAAACAGAACTCATCTAGACTAGAACTGTAATTTTTTTCCTTTTGGGAACATGAATCCTAGCAGGAAGGAGCAAAAATTTCATTAAGGAAAAAAGCAGGACTCCTGAGATTCCCAGATGCGGAAGCAGGGACTGTTCCTGCAGTGCCCAAAAGGCAGACCAAGTTCTGAGGTTTTCAGAAATCCTGAAAGTTTGCAAGCTTGCTATTTGCCTTAGAGTTTCAAAGCCTTTAGGATTCATGCTTTCAAGCTTCCCCCCTACTATTATGATTAGATCTTTCTTGCTTTATTTTTTAAATGAAAATTGAAATTTTTGCTCATAATCACTTGACTCCAGGAGGTAGAGCTTTAAAAATATCCTCTGTTGCCAAACTGGCAGGAGTGTCACGGAACTTGGTAACAAGCTGTTCCAGTTGGGCTTGGGAGAGCTGCAAAATACCTTTTTGTAGTAGCAGGAAGGTAGGATGGGAAATTATTTTAATGGGGTTTAATACCTTTGTTGATTTCGCTTGATTTTCAATGGCTATTTGGTTTAGAATGCCAGTAAAGCTGTCCTGAAGACATATCCCTCAACGGACTCCCCATGCAATTCTGTCCTTCCCAGGTCTAGCCCATTTTCTCTTCTGAGGATGGTCCCCAGGTTTTCACAGCAGAGCCCCCACTAAAATCAGTGTCACTGCTGTAGGTAAATTGGCCCCGAAGGTCACTTTGGCAGTCTTAACGCCAGCATGGCAGTTACTTAGAAGCAGCACTTGGACATTTATTTTTCAGCATAAAACACTGCTCATGTACACAAAGCATTGCTCTGTCTCAGAGTGACTTGAAACCTCTTCCAGAGCAGAGAGTGAGGTTTGCTGGGAAGAGGCATGTTTTCTAACTAGCTCTTGGGTTGTTTCTCTGAACGACTGACACTCTTCTGAAATTTGTTTTGGTGTGCCAGGAGAGGTTTTGCATACTGGATCCTCACATCTTTGGATGCAATTAGATCACTAGCTCACTGCCTTCCCTCGCAGTGACCCAGGGCTCAACCAGGCCTGCCAGTGCTGATGGAAATCCTACAAAAACCCTTTCAGAGATCCATGTGCAGCCGGTTGCGAGACAACATGACCTACTTCATCTTTGCAGCAGATGCTGTGATGGAGGACCTCATCCTGTGGGAAGGACCTGGGGAAGGGCATGCAGAGCTGCTCCCAGGCACTCTCCATCTCCCAGGGGTTTCCCTGTGTCCGAACTGGCATAACTGGACCTGGCTGGGGTCACTGGGAAGCCCCTCTGCAACATCCAGGGCTGCTCACCCTCAGGACCAGCCCTGCTTTGACCACAGCCGAGCCACCCTGGGTGCTGCCAGTGCCACAGGGCCACACAGCCATTCTGTGCCTGGACGCACCCCTTCCCCCGGGGTGCATCAGGACATGAGAAACGAGAGCTGACAACTGTATTCGCTGGGTTTCGCTTCTGCTCTGTCACACGAGACGTTAAATTGACTCTCGGCTGTGCTGTCTTGGGGAAACGTATGAAGCCTTTGTACTTCGAGGATGGCTGCTTCATGCAACGGGAGCAGTGCTGAGGTGGCAGGAGGGGTTATTTCACCTCCTCGGCAGGCTTTGGCGCATCCCTCTGCTCTCCTGATGTGCGAAAGGAGGTGCCGTGTTGGCAATGCAGGGTGAGGGACAGGTAGGAGATCGTGCGGGCAGAGCGGGCAGGATGCCCAGATCCATCCTGGCTCTGCCACTCGCTCGTTCAGGCAAGTGGTCTGCACTGGGTTTCCTGCCCTGCAAAGTGCCCAGGAAGGACATGGGTGAGCACAGCCTGGGGTCAGCACCTCTCTGCAACGCTCAGCATAGGGCTGATGCCCTGGTGGGTCCTGCCCTGCTGCCAGCAAAGAGGGCATCTTGTCATTAATCAGACATTGCTGCCCTACACACCTTCCCGTTAAGTCCCTGATAGCTCCCGGACACAGGGCACAGTTGTGAGCAGGGTGAAAAGTCTGACTTTTTATTGCTTTGGGGTTTTTTTATCCCCTAAGTTTGCGGCATCATTAACATTCTGCTAGAGAAGAGATGGGTTTTCTTCAAACATCTCGGCTTTTTGGCCTTTATAACTCGCTGTAGGATGGCAAAGCGTGGGAGCTGTAAGAAGTGGTTTAGCAAAACATGATATTGGTTAGGCAAGCGGGGAAGGAGCATGGGCAGGTTTAGGTTTTTTTACTTTACTAATTTACAGCAACACAGCCCTTTACAATCTGTTTAAAACCAAATTTAAGCTGAATAATGGGAAAGTATTAAAAAATATCAACACTGACAGGAAGACTGAAAGATGAGGTTAATGATGCCGTTTGTTTTCCATATGACGCTCTGTTTGTGTGGACAGCTTCACTGTTCATAAGTAGATGTATTTTTATGTTTTAAAGTCTCCCGTATTTGGGGCTTTAAATGCTGAGAAAAAAAATTGCTTCATTTATGTAACGACTTAGGCAATCTGTGTAAGACAACAGTATTTCTGTCTGTTTTAAGCTTTATTTAATTTAAGCTTAATTTAGTTTACAAGCTCCACTGAGCCAAATTTGAGTTGATCAGAGTTATTTTAAGCAGGTTTTATTTGGAGGAAAAGGTGAGAAAAGGAGCACTTGATCCGTATGTTGTGTGCAGAGCACAGTCTTGTTCAAAGACACAGAGACTAGGAGGCAGCATTATCTTTTAGTTTACAAGTTCAATGTATGGTTTTCATTTGATGATGGAAAGAAAACTCAGTGTGATGAAAATGCAGTGATCCTTTTTCATTGCTTTTTGCAATTTGTTCCAATTTAGAGTATTCAGCACACAGGGGTGCTTGGCACCCCATCCAAAGTTGCCCTCCCAGGTTTTAGGAGACTTTCTCAGTCGGTCTGATCTCGGTGCGGTTTAGAGATCACAGTCTCAGGATGCTGAGATAGGGCATTTGCCTGAGTGAGAAAGGCTCTTCATGTGAAATGATGAGGAAAGCTGCTGTGAAATGAAAATCAATGCTCATTCATAAATCCTGGCCTGGGAAGTTTACAGAAAACTCACTGCTACAACCTGGTTAGCCTGGGCTGATGTTCACATTGATTCAGATTTCTGAACCAGACATATCTTGACCTTATTAAATCAGTCACCTGTAAAGGGCCTACCCTTCCTCCCAGAGGTCTGTTCTGTTCGGACAGACCCCAACTGATGGTGTGCAGGAACTGGGACAAGCAGTGCTTTACATGCAGTTTTCTTTAGGTTGGTCTGTTTTACGTATGTACATCTTGGTTCAGGGCACTTGACAGCGTCCAACAGTCCAGTTACCCTTTCACCTGATTATTTTAAATTTGGGATCAAAACTGTCAACACTTGAAATCCCGTTGCTTACAAGAGGAGTTTGGCAGTGCGCAGGAAACCATTTGGGGCTGGTTGCACCAGTATAAAAATGGACTGTCTGGGCTGTAAGCTGTTGTGGACACCACGGTGCATCGCTGGCAAGAGCATCACCGTTGCTGTAGGGAGGGAGTCGATCCAGTATCTCCCAGAGTCATGCAAACTAAGACCCAGCCTGCTTTCACTCGTTGGCTTCCTGATGCTTTTATGAGTAAGCCTGTTGCTCTCCCCTCTTCTCCTCGCAGCTATGGGTAAACCAAGAAGATGGAGTGGAGGAGGGAACCAGCGATGTGCAGAATGGCCATTTGGATCCAAGTGCCGACTGCCTCTGTCTCGGCAGGAGCGTTCAGAACCGAGACCAGATGAGAGCCAATGTCATCAATGAAATCATGAGCACGGAGCGCCACTACATCAAGCACCTCAAGGACATTTGTGACGTACGTGGGGGTTGTGACACTGGGGTACTGCGGCAGGACATGGGATGGGCTGTTAAGAGCTGAGGACTGGGTTTGTCCTTGGGTGGTGGTGGGAAAAAGATGCCGTGTGTGAGTACTGTGTCTAGTAGAGGAGCAGCGTCTGTCAATAAGTATTGATACTTCTGAGAATTTTGTGCTGGCTCTGATAATTACCTTTAGTTTGTATTAACAAAAAGTACAATTTTCTGACCTTGTTTCCATACCTCTCTGACAGAAAAATTATGAGGTTGAGATCCTTCAAGCAGTCCTCTTAATTAAAACCCAATGCCATCTACTTTTGAATTTGTGATTGAGGGTATTAGGTTGTAATTAAACCAATCAGTTACCCATTTCATCTGTGTCTTTCATGTTGGGTTCACAATTTCCCCTGGCTCAGGATGGCCCCCATTTGCCTTTTCTTACGGTGAGACTGAGCGCAAAATGTTTTCATGGTACGAAATGAAGTACATTACATTCATCCAGGGTAGGGAACCAGCAAGCAAATGAACCTTGGTGACTGACCCCATGTATCCTTATCCTCAACTCAGTTCTTCTTCATTACGTTACAGTTAACCTCTTCAACCCCTTATTGTCCTACAGCGTACAGAATTAGGGCCATGAGCTAAGCCCAAAGTGCAGTGCATGTGGTGCTGGTTGTTTAGGAAGGGTACTGCACGGCTGTGCTGGAGAGCGTTGCAGGACAGCTTGGGCATTATGTGTAGAGCGTATGCTTATCCCTAAGAGCAGAAGTTTATTAGCACTAAAATCAGAGTCCATGGCTTTCAGCTCACCCCTCTGAATGTCTAGGATTTAGCAAGCCTGTGCCCAGTCTTTGCAGAGTCAATGTGGTGAAGCCCCTTGTGAATTCTGCTTAGAAAAATGTCTTCCTCCCTTCATTCTTGCTACTTTTCTATTGACAAGGCAAAGCAGCCGTCCAAAAAGTATCTATGACGCTTTTCAGATATGGAAGAGTCTTGGGGTTTCGATTTGGAAACAAATGAGCTTAATTTCACTGTGCTATTTCAGTCAGCGGGCTTTGCATTGAGGAAAGGAAGAACTGCAGGAACTTTTCCACATACTGTTTCTTTTCCTGCATTTGCGCTTTTCTGTTGTAAAGCTAAATAAACCTTCCCTTGCATTTCCCAGCCATGTCACCATGCTTTTGCCAAATCAGATTCTCTGGAGGTATAGAGAGGTATAGCCTCAGTTGACATCTGTGGGGTAACGCTGATTTACAGCACCTAATGATATATCCCAGATATGAAAGAGATCTCTGAGGCTCTTTCTTTGCTCTGTATGATGCAAAATGGTATTGAGGGGATAAATCTTACCTCCAGGTAGAGCACTGGGAAATGATTCAGCTGCCTCTCTTAAAAAAGGAGGAGGACTGAAATGGACATTCTCATCTGCAAAACGGCGGGCTGTCCCTTGCTGGAGAGAGCCTCATTGTGCTCAGTTTAATCAGAGCAATCCGTTTGCCTCGAGAAGGCTCGAAGACAGCTCAGTCATCCCAGACGTTTCGGCATAGCATGACGTGACTGTTTCTGTTTGTGTGCCAGAGGAGGGGGGCTGGAGATGGAGAGACGTGGGCCGGCTTGAGCTCCTCCCAGTGCTACTGGATGGAAGGCTCGGAGACAGCTCAGTCATCCCAGACGTTTCAGCATAGCATGACGTGACTGTTTCTGTGCGCCAGAGGAGGGGGGCTGGAGATGGAGAGACGTGGGCCGGCTTGAGCTCCTCCCAGTGCTACTGGATGAATTTGTACAGAGGTGTTACTTGTGCCGAAGAACAAGTAGACACCAGACAACTGCTGATGAGATGCAGAAGTGCCGTTGACAGTGGCAAATTCCCCTCTTCCCTTTGCTCTTTATTTGACGGTGTTAGGACAAACAACAGCGATATGATGTATTGGAGGGGATGAAAGAGGAGTTCTGGCTGGGTGGCAAAGGTTGAGCCTGATTTAGTACTGAGTTTAGCAGTGTGTAGTTATACTCTTGTTGCTGAGCTATAATGAATAACAAATCCTAATAGAAGTGAGGCACCTTAAGCTATGTGGCTGTTACTGGAGGTCCGTAGCCCCTGCTAGGTGATTAAGAGCCCTCCAATTGCTCTTTTTTGCTTCAGGATGTATTTCCACTACCTGCTACTGTATCATTATACACCATGTTATTATTCATAATACCCATGGCACTAGCCTTGCCAAGGCAGGAGCTCACAAGCTAGCCAGCACCAGAATGAAAATCACCTGTGCATGCCAAAGCCTGCATGAAGCAGCTGGCTCAGAAGGGAATTCCCCATCACAGCAAAGCTGTACTGCCCTGATGACTGCTGCTGCTTGGCCCTTGCTTAGGGTATGAGGGACTGACCGCTGCTTGGTTAAACAGTCTTGTGAAGATTTTTATTAGGGGTAAAATGTGGAGTTTTCCCCGGACTTGCATTATCAGGAGTAGATGGATCATTACTCTGAAATATCACCAAGGAGAAAAGAAAGAAAAAAGAATTTAGCCTTAAGGAAATATCCAGCGATAGGAATTTCAGGCTTAACGGTTAGAGCTTAGAAAAAGAATAAACTACTGAAAACTAGGCCTTTATAATGGGTAGCAATAGCCAGCCTTACTGCCAGGCAGCACTGCTCACTCGCTGTCCTGTAAGGCACCACATACATGCGTGGCCATCTCCAGGCTTGAACAGATCTCCCTCTGCCCCTGGGGTTTGGTCCTGGGAGGATGCAAGAGGGTGCCGGGTCTGTCCATGACGTGGCACCAGTGACACCAGCAGAGCAGCCGAGGTTCTCGGACAGGACCACTACCTCGATTGGAGCGGAGGGCCAAGAAGGTGGTTTGAGCTGTAGCGTGTGGTGGGGAGCACAGGTGGAAGACGGAGATGCAGGAGGGCTACAAAGAGCTGGGTGCCTTGCTTTGAGAAATGAGCAGGATTGGGGCTGGCACATGGATTAGGAAGACAAGGCTAAGTTTAAGGAGACGTTAGAGGGAGAAGAGGCAGAGCCTGAATGGGAACAGTGAGGCAACTGGGAGATCAAAGGAAACCTCCATATTATGAGTAATTTGGGGGTGGAAGGTTAGAAAGGCCAGCCAACTTCCAGTGCTGCATTTTGCTCTTTTCCAAGTAATTTCACTTTGAATTTATTTTTTAATAATGTTAACTGGATTCCACCTAAGCTTTGCTTTGGTGCCAGGACAGCCCTCCTCATTGCATCTTAGCATGTCAAGCTGAGTCGGTTGTGCAGAGCTGACAGGACAAGCTTTCACGTGGTCTGGATGGCATTAGCCTGACTCATTCTCAGAGATAGATAAAAACCACTTTTTTGTGCTGCCTCAGAGCGAAGCAGCATAAAACCTTCTTGGCAGCAATGTGGCCCTCCTTCAGAGGACCACATCTGAGGAGGTGCTGGCCCCTTTCTGTGACCGGTTTCTCACCCATGGATACTAGACAGGAGGGCGACTCTGCAGAAAGCTCTTTGGATTAGTGGGGATATATATACTACATATATGTATTCCCTGATGTGCAGTTTGTAGCTGTCTTTCACAGCCTGCTTTTGCACACCTTATTTTTCTGTTTTGGAGCTGGCTGCTTCTTGCCCTTTTGAGGAACAGACTTGTGTTCCTGCAGGACTTTATTTTATATTTTAGGTGGGCCCCAGTGCAATCACAGTGCCTGACTTTCAGTGCTTGCTATAGACCAGTATTTGAATAAGTGCTTTAGAGACCTGCTTACCTGGGACCAGACATGGCTCTAGTTTGCCTTTCCAAGTCAAACAGCCTCAGCTTTGTTCTTGTGCTTATTCTTGGTATGTGCATATCAGCACAACGCTTACCTGGATGCTGTGAACACTGCTCTAGAGAACAGGGTTTTTATAGCCCAAATGGTGCCTGTCCAGACTGAGGGATGGTCTACAGGACAGTGCAGACAGCCCCTAAACTGGCTCAGAGATGGAAAGAGACTGGACTATCACCACAACTGCCTGCAGTGGCTATCATCTCCTCATTCTCTCCTTCACCTTGCTGTCAGCTGGACAAGAAGGAGGATGGATGGATTGGCCACCTCTCCTGACTGTCTCTAAACTTGCTCTGAGGTGGAGAAAACTTAGCACTTAACCTCCTGCAAATACTTTCCAACTTTGGCCTATACTTCAGGGACTACATGGAAAATTACTTTAAAGAGAGACAGTCTGACAGCTATTTTTAGGTATTCATTGAGCAAAACACTCGCCAACATCTGCTCATCAGTTAGCTATCCCCTTTCTGAGCAAACCTGACAGGATGAGCAGAAGGAAGATGACATTGTTTTATGTAACAGAAGTAAATTTACTGGAAAAACTATGCAGCAGCCTTCTAGCTGGCTCTTGCTGCATATTATATATAAATCCTCAGTCTCCTCTTTGCTGGCTTGTGCTGGAAACCAACCATCCAAACGCACAAGCTGGATAGAGGATAAGGCTTGGGAACTCCGTACGTTCTTTTATTTTATAGGTGCCTGTACAGAAATGTGCTGCTTCAGCTTCTCTGAAACACGTGACTCAGGCAAAGTGATGAACCAGCACAGGGAGGACGGGGAATATTCAAGACGGTAGTCGCAGCCAATAGCAACCCCAGGGCTGAAAGATGTTCACATAAATCATCCAGTGACTGATTTCACAGAACAGTATGCGAGAGAGGAGGCTGGCTTGCAGGCAGCCTGCAGCGTGCAGCAGGGCAAAGGTCCTAACACAAACGGCTTGCGGCAGTCATTCAGCACTGCTAGCACCAAAGCCGGTGTCAAAAAGAGCTTGGCCTTGTGGGCAGATTCTTTTTGGGTTTTTTTGATGCTGTTCTGAAATAAGCAGGTAAACATGAAAAGCAGCATGGAAAGATATCCTGCATTATTCCTTGCTAGTTTGAATTTTATTTGCCCTGCAACTGTCCTGCAATGTGGGAACCAGCCTGCTCCCATTCTTCCTGGCCTTGAAAAATGAGAGAGGGAAACCCAGAGGAATGAGTCATCAAGATGCTCCTGGAAGAACAGAGACCTAGATTTAGTAAATGCAGAAGGTAGTCCATAACTTAAGCTTCCCAGCTGAAAAAAGCAGCAAATTCAGGGTGACAGCATCCTTCTAGCTAGGCTGGACATCGCAGATGTTGGTTCTTTGCCAGGTTGGCCAAAGTTGCATTTATCATTCATGTGTTTGAAGTTCTCCCTCCCAGGAACCACATGGTGAGGCTGAAGGACAGTTTATTATAGCGTTCCAATAGTTCGCATTGTGGACCAGCAGCTGCGTGTCACCAGCTGGCGGTTCGTCTGTGTGACTAAGCATCTAGAGTTCCCAAATATAGCCATTCAACTGGAACTGTTGGCATTTTTTTCCCTTCATTTTTTTCTCTTCCTGTACAATAAAGGCAGGCAAAGTCATCTCATGATGACCCTCATGTTATTTCTTTTCAGTCAAGAGGCTGCAGTCCAGACCAGGCCAGCATAGCATCTGATGTTTGGCCTTGCAAAGTTTCTAGTCTAAATTGTCCAGACAGGTGAAGCAGAGAATCTGCAAATCTACTGCAGATTCATTCTGTGCTTTTGGAGAATTTCCTTAAACTCTCTACATCCTAGTTCTTCCTCTCTCTTTCTCCATTTGACTTTAATGTCTATAGACTTAGTAAAGGAGTCTGATGTTTGTACAAAGAAGGAAAGGGGACGATCCCTGCCATGGTCCTGCTGGCCACACTATTGCTGATACAGGCCAGGATGCTGTTGGCCTTCCTGGCCACCTGGGCACACTGCTGGCTCATGTTCAGCCGGCTGTCAACCAACACCCCAGGCAGCTTTCCAGCCACTTTTCCCCAAGCCCATAGCGTTGCATGGGGTTGGTGTGACCCAAGTGCAGGACCCGGCACTTGACCTTGTTCAACCTCATACAGTTGGTCTCAGCCCATCGACCCAGCTTGTCCAGGTCTCTCTCCAGAGCCTTCCTACCCTCCAGCAGATCAACACTCCCGCCCGACTTGATGTCATTTGCAAACTGACTGGGGGTGCACTTGATCCTCTTGTCCAGATCATTGATAAAGAGATTAAACAATTTCCTTGTCCTGATTACCATGGCTAAAAGGGGAAATCAGAGTGGGCAGACAATCAAACAGCCCCTCGCAGCTTTCTCTGTAATGCCGTGTGCCACTCAATAGGACATGGAAACAGCAACGTTTGTAGGAGCTACCTTGGATAATGGGTATTTCAAGGCAGTGATTTCTGAAGGAGCAGACATACGGTACTGTGACACACCTCTTTGGAGCTATCAGCCAAATCTTGCTGGTCTCTGCAGCACAGGTAGGGACAGAGCCATTTCAGACTGTGCTGGTTGAGATCTCTGGGGAACCTTCCCTTTGCAAAACTGATTCATGCAAAATGCTGAGGGACATTGAGGCAGAACCCAGCATTGTCCTCTCAGCTGTAGGTTGCAGTGAGAACAACAGTTGCAAATGAGGTGCTGTCTGTCAAAAAAAGGACTCGTAGCATTTCAAGGCATGTTTTGCATATTGCATGCTTACTCATAGACAGGAGTTGATGGAGACTGTCATGCCATAACAAGTGGATTTTGTTTTCAGAGACGTTTTCTGATTTTGCTTTTACTTGCTTCTTCCTCGAGAATAATCTGGGAGCAGCCTCAGTGTGTTTGGTTTATTTTATGGATTGTTCTGTCTTACTCCTTACAGGGTTACTTAAAGCAGTGCCGGAAGAGAAGGGATATGTTCAGTGACGAACAGCTAAAAATCATCTTTGGTAACATTGAAGATATCTACAGATTTCAGATGGGTTTTGTCCGGGACTTGGAGAAACAGTACAACAACGAGGACCCCCATCTCAGTGAAATTGGACCATGTTTCCTTGAACACGTAAGTTAATTTGCCATTTTTGTTGGGGAGCTTTGGGGTTGGTTTTGGGGGATGGGGCAGGAGGAGTAGCGGAAAAAGTCAGGAGGCAGGAACCATTCAATAACTTTTGTGCATCAATACTGTTCTAGTTACATATCAGGGATTACTCCGTGGCCCTCCATTTACTTCGTGAGATATAGAGAAGGGAAAATTTGAAGGGAAGCATATAGTTGGATAACCCCCTAGAACATCTGAATCCCAGCACCTTTTCCCATCTGCCCTTAACCATATTCTGTAGGTGTGATGTCCCTCACCTACTCCCCACCTTCTTCCGCTCTTCAGAATATGACTTAAACCAACTCACAGGCCATCCTAGTCAGGTCACGGATGACCAGAAGGTTGGAAGAGGTAAGAGAGTCCAGAGAAGTAAAAAGAGGCCTTAGTTGTGCATTACACAAAAAAAGTAGAGGAGAACAAATGCGTGGGCTGTTTGCTGTGGCACCAAGATGCACTTGCAAGGATGAAAAACCCACTCAGCTTCAGTTGCCTTCCCCTGCAGAGCTGTTGGGCCAGGTAGGGAGGTGCCAGCTCGTGCTTCTTGCTGCCCGGATGGCAGCAGGGCTGCAGATACTCGCTCACGCTAAATCCACACCAAACAGGACATTTTAGCTGACGATATAGCCCATCGTACTGTTACATAAGCCACGTACTACAGGAGCTGATAAATTTGCCAGTGTTGTAAATATGTCAGGAAATGTCAAGAAAATTATAGTCCTGCAGTTCTAGACTTTCCTTTAGGGAGAATGATGTGCTGTATCAGAGCTTACGTATGAGGTGCTCCTACCCGGGATGCAGATCCTGTACTCTTTTACCTCATTGCTTACAGTTAGGGCTGAGCTGGCAACAGTTCACTTCTTATTAGGGAAACTTCTGATAGACATTCATGAAATTTCAGCAGGGCATCCCTAAAAAGGTTCACAGCATCTCTTAGGCATCATTGCTCTTCTAATTGAAAAGTAGGTTTCTTTTTGAGAAGTTGTATGATGGCATTAACATCACTCTTATCAGAGCCTGCAATCTCTGCTGCTTGCTTCCAAAGCAGCATCATATTCCACCTCTGTGTTAAGAAGATGTAAGAAATCTTGGTGAGAATCAGTAGCTAAAACTTTGTATCTTGAGGCTGCGCTGTCAATTCATTTATAGTGACAATACTAAGAATTACTACCATTATTTGGAGGAATATCTGACACCTACCTGTCATCAGATAGGGGCTGAAAGCTGTCTAATAAACTCCTGATAAATTATCCCTGTTTAGCCATTTGGGGAAACTGAAGGTTGAGGACATTAAGGTCCTGTTATACGGGTCTGCAAAGCATCTTGTTCCTCGTCTGCTTCAGGAAGAGAGAGGTGTCGGCGCTTGGCTCTTGGTCAGCTGTGGGGATGGGAAAGAAACCGGGCTCCTCTTTTCCCAGAAGGGCAGGTTATTTGAGCCCTTGTGGGACTGAGAAATAAGAATTGCTGGTCAAGTGTATTTTTTAAAAAAAAGAATCTGTCCTTTCTATAGTTTGTAAGGCATTGGCCACAACCTGATGTAGCATCTCAGGCTGTTGATTTACAACACCTGGACTTCTATCTTGGCTGTTGCAAGTACAGTCAATATGTGATATTGGGCAGTCAATTTGTGTCCATCTCTCCCTTCCAGTGTAATCTTTCATTGACCTTTTGTCTGCCTTGTCCGTGTGGCCCAGACGAACCAAGCCTGAGTTAAGGGTAACAAACTGCCATGGCCCCATCTGTGGCCCGAGAAGGCAGAAAAAGGAGATTCCAACAAAAATACATGTTAGACCAGTGCAAAGGGTGGGTGGACACATGTGTGAGTGGGTTGGTTTTTGGTTTGTTTTTCCTGTCTTTAGTGTTTTCTGGCTCTCTGGCCCTGGGGAAATCCACACAGTGGTTGGTGCTTTGGGTTCCTGTTGGTAGAGGGAATTTCAAATATACCCAGCTCCTAAACACTTGCTAGGTGCTTCATGATCTTTCAGGGAAAAAAAAAGAAAGAGCTCTGGAAATAACAACGTTGTCTTCTTGTATTACCAAAGGCCAGAGCTCTGCTTGGTGCTACCTTTACGTTTTGTAAAGAAAATCCCACCACATAATTTGAAACTGAGAACACCCATAACGCTACGCAGGGGTTCACTTTAACATACCCTGTACCTACAGAGACCTCAGCAATGTGTCAGTATGCAGGTCCCTCTCTGCCTCCCTTTTCCCCCAGAGCCACCATGCAGCACCTCCTCCAAGGAGGAAAAGTACTCTAGGATCGGTTCTTCTTCCTCCTGCTTGGGATATTCTTTCTTCTTTAGTTGTACTGTCTGCTTGTTGGCAAGCTGGGTGGTTGACTGCTCGCAGCACTTGACTGATGTGTGCTCCCCTCTCTTTTCTCCTGCCTCTCACAGCAAGATGGCTTCTGGATCTATTCAGAGTACTGTAACAATCATTTGGATGCATGCATGGAGCTTTCCAAGCTGATGAAAGATAGCAGGTACCAGCATTTCTTCGAAGCATGTCGTCTGTTGCAGCAGATGATTGATATTGCCATAGACGGTTTCCTTCTGACGCCAGTGCAGAAGATCTGCAAATACCCCCTGCAGCTCGCAGAGCTACTGAAGTACACCGCGCAGGATCACAGGTACGCCCATCTGTTATTACATGGAAGGATTTTGCTTACTGCTGCTTTACGTGGCCTCTGCACACACACAGGGCTTGGGGGTTTTTCTGTCCAGCTCTTCTCTTCATGACGTCTTGTATAAATTGAAGCAGGGCAAAGGTTCAAAAAAGCTTCTCAAAGCACTGATTCTCAATGGAGCCAAACTCATCTCTGTTATAATCAGACATCTGAACTAATTACCCTTGGATGTACTTTCTGATGCTACCAGTTACACTAGAAAAATTACCTAATTAGCATTCAGTGGTTGGAAAGCCTCATTCCTTTATCCTGAAGAGGACCTCAATCCATAGCAAGTAGAGGGCCAGGATCCACAACTCAAACCTGAATATCCTCAGATTTGGGGAGAATTCAGAACCTGCTCTGCTTTTTAGCCTGATTCCATCTCTGATTTTGCCATTGGGTTTAGGTTCAGAGGGGCACCCAGCAGTTTGATTACTTCCCAAAATTTCCAGGATCTCTTTTGCTGCTGCTGAGGGCAACCAATCTGACTCTCTGACTTAGTGTAGATCAAGAATAGCACCTACGATATCACTTGTGAGATACTGCTATAAAAATAAGGTGAAAGAAGAAACAGGCCTCTTAAGAGTAGATTTTCTCCTGCCTTGCCAATTTTCTTTCTTTTTCCAAAAGCCATTTAAAAGGAAATGCTTCAGAGAACAGAAGAGACCACAGATGTTTCAGAAACTTCTGCAAGTGTTTGATTTTTTTGTTTTTCCCCAAACCCGGCTCTAGAAGTGCAGAGAAATGTGATATGAGCGAAGAGATGCATTGATTTTCTTTGACCTGATTCACAAGTTTGACTGATTCATACTAGCTGAATGCCCAGTTCAAAATCACAAATTTGAACATGTATTTGCCTCCAGAGCCAATTTCTGGTTTTCCCTTGATAATGAGACCAAATCAAACTTGGAGCAGACTCATGGGAACATTAGGGTATCAGAAAGCAGCTCTAGGATCCCAAATGTTGTGGCTTTTTTTTCCTTACCAGCTATGGGATGTCCCCACAGTACTTAGAGTGTGAATTCAGATGCAGCTTTACAATGGGAAGACATAAGCAGCCTCGGACAGAAGAGGTCTGCGTTTAAAATGACCTTTTCTGTGTTATTTGGTAGCAATAGCAAAGGGGATGTGGACAGTGTGATTACACATGGGTTGGATTATTTTGGGAGTACGTTCCTTTTTTCCTTTGGGATGTTTTAAAATCAACATGTTGTTAAGTAATCAGATATATTCCGAGAAGACTCTGATCTTTCCTGTGGTTAAGCAACAATTAATTGATTCAGACTGAGAGCTCTTAGCTACTGAAAAGTGTTAGTGATAGGACATGTCCATGAACACTTAATTTTAAACATTTCATTTCTCTTGTTTCTTCATTTTCTGAAAAGGGAAAGCAGGATTATATTTGCTTGCCTTGCATTAGTCAAGAGTAAGCCCCTGAAGCTGTAACATGGTGCATTTATGAAACTCCTGCCTGCACAGACAGCCAGCGAAAGACCTGTGCCTTATCTCAGGCCTGGAGCGTGGTGTACTTCTGTTAGCGTGGGCATGCCCTGGAGAGTTTATTGACTCATGGAGGAATGGTGTTACAACGCAGAAATGGGGTGGGTTATACCACACTTCCTTGTGGTCTAGCTCCTCTGATTCAAGTGCTGAAAGAGCCTGGGAGGGACCAATCCTCCAGCCAGCCCAGCTCGCATCCCAGACAAGCCTAATGCCACAAATGGGAAAAGTGAGGCACAGAGAGTGTGTCTTACCACCATAGGATTCTGCACTGGGACTGTGCAGAAAACCTGGGCTGCCATGGTTACCTGCTTGAAATACAAATATTTTCTGCTCTTCTAATTCTGGCTTTGGGATCGGGGCTGAGATGAGCAAAGCCTGAGATTGGAAAAGCACATAATCTTTGGGGAGTGTCACGTTGTGACTATCAGATACAGGGAAAAGCCAGGTACCTGCAGGTTGGGATACCGTCAGGTCAGCTATGAACAAGAAGAACTGAGAAGCCAACTGGGGAGCTTCAGCCCATTAATCAGGCGGCGAGTTGTCCTCATGCACTTGCAGCTTGACAGTGCTCGCAGTCAGATTGCGAGTCTCAAAGAGAAGCTAGAAAATTACAGAGTGGACTAATACACTGAAATCAGGCTCATCATTGGCTGAATTAGGAGTCTCTTAGGCACTGTGATTAAAATTTAATATGTAGAAAATACTGTTTAAATCAGTTGAACCATTTATGGAATAAGGCAAAACTCAGAAAGGACCAGGAGTCCCAATGAAAGGAAGTATGTTAGCTTCATCTAACAGTGGGACATGATATTCTCGTTCTTTTTTTTTCTTCCTCTTCCCTAATATCATACTGGTAGAGCTATGGATCTTCCCTGCACCAGGTCAGGACAACAAAGCTGAAACCAGAAACCTGGCCACTCTCCCCTAACTCAGCATGTGATAGTGGGCAAGAGTCTAGACTTGCATTCTGATTGAGCACTGGAAAGTGGTCATTGCAGCCCCAATATAATTGACAAACAATTTATTTACCTTAATTTCATAGTTAGTGCTATCCTATTATTTTTTCACTGGCCAAATGCTTTGCTTCTGTTATTTTTTCTTCTAAGTTTTTGCCAGCTGTGCCACAGACATGGACTAAGAGCCCAAAAAGTTCAGTCGTGACTCTGTCTTCATTACTGTGTGAAAGAAAAATGTGCCTGGGGTTTTCTCGTCAAACATAACATTAGAATTGGTGAATTAGCATTGCCAAGATAAAGCCTGGCTTGATTGGCACCGTCCCATTCCACATGGAGGCAGGCATGGGGTTGTTTTCAGAGTCTGGCTCCCTTCAATTGCTTATTGTTTTGAGACTGGTTCATTTGAATTTTTCACAAAGCCACATCTGTTTACCTCTTAAGGATTTACTCCAGCTTAATATGAATTAAATATATGAAGGTCCTAAGTGCAGCTTGCTGGTGTCCTGACCGTTCCTGCTGCAGAACTGAGCTGGAGTTAAGAGTGTATGAACACGTTACGTGAGAAAGAGGAGACTGCTAACGGGTGGACTGACATTAGCCTCCCTTTTTTGCATGTGCATAATAGCTAGGAGATTGTTCATGACTGTCTCTACACCCTACACCTCTCCCTACCTCTAGGGATCCTTTCTGGCCATGGTGACTTACCTGCCTACAAGAACTCATGGACATTTTGAAGACCAGACTAATGTCTCTCTGGCATAGCTCCATTTCTCCCTTACACAGCCAGGCGCTCACTTCATACAGATGGCCCCACAAAGGAAGGCACAAGAAGTTCTTCATTGTGTATCATGACGGATGTCAGACAGCCCATCCTCTATTCTCCTTTACTTTGTTGAAGGGCCAGTCCTGATGTTCTGGAATTTGTAGGACTTTTTTAACCTCAGCTAGAATTTTGACATAAGAATTAAATAAGAATTGAAAATGTATTTCAAGATTTCATCTAAGAAAGGATGGCAAAATAGCAAATAATATTCTATTATGTATCATATTGTGATTGTTTCTTAGTATTTATGCTGTTTGGATCACATGGGGAAATGGATCTAATTCACAGCATTCACCTCTATTTTAGCTGTCACCAGTGCAATTCTTAGCAATAATCAATAAAGCCATTCCCCCTGCAGCTGCCCAAGATCACAGTTTTTCTCATTAGTCAGCAATCAATATCAACCCTTAAGTTAATAATATATTATGGTGGCATTATGGCAGCTGGCCTTGTCTGTCTTTCAGACTGAAATTAAGATTCCTTGGAATGGAAAAGAAGGCACGGGGCAAAAATCAATAGCATTGATTTCAGCATCACTTTTTGGAAAGACTGATCATCATCTTTGCTGGCCCTGGCAGGAGGCTATTTTCACTCTTTGTTATTGCACTCCAAGGCCCATCCAGGAAAAAAAATAATTGCTTTTATTTGCTCACCTGAAGTCCGCAGTAAGAATGAATGCCATGGGATAAACGCTCTGTGGCACTCCTGGAGTCGCCTTATGACTTGGAAGGTGCTCTGGCCTTGTGACTAATTAAAAAATATTTTCTAATGTTCATTTTAAAAATGGAAGAATCCAGGCCCAAAGGCACAGGCTATAAAAATGTTCAGACTTTTTTTTAGGATGCTCTTTAGCCAAGCACCTTAGAACTTTAAAGAGCAATATTCACAACTGTTGTACGTTGGGTTGGTGGAGGTTAGGCTGTACTCATTGCACTGATGCAAAGCAGCTGAGGAGCTGTCTGGCTTCTCTGTCTCATACACAGGCAATTTCAGTTTCAAGCAAGCATCTCTCTTGTGATGATCTAGAAGGACATTGCTGATGGAAAAAAATATGGTATGGTGGTAATGAGTGGCAAATCCTACCTGCATTTCTTTCTGAAAGGATGGTGAGATTATGGTGCTACTAGTGATAGACTCCTGTGCATTTGCACTGCACGTCATGGACTTTTCTTTGGTGTTCAACAGTGACTACCGGTATGTGGCTGCTGCTCTCGCTGTCATGAGGAACGTGACTCTACAGATCAACGAGCGGAAGCGGAGATTGGAGAACATTGACAAGATAGCTCAGTGGCAGGCCTCTGTTCTGGACTGGGAGGTACAGTAAACGCTCAGCCCTGATTTAGGAGCTATAAACCTGGAAAAACTAAATTCCATGCACTTGTTGGATTATCCAAGGCCATGTAGTTCATTTCACACAACCTAGTCTTGGGATTAAGCTTGGGACAGAGAAGGCATATTTACAGACTTTAGAGATGGTACTTTAGATGTGAAACATTAATGGTATTCTGAAGAAAATCTAGGGTCCGGTTCCAATTTCATCAATAGAAATCTGGAGTAACTTTTGCAGTTGCAATGCTGTTGTCCTGGGAGTAAGTGAGATTTGGATCAAACTCTGTGTGTTGTGGCTCTGTGCGTTGTAAGGGAAAGAGGTAGCAAAAAGCCCTAGAAACTGTGATGTGTTAAGAAAATGGAGAAAACTCTTCTGGTGGTTGCTTTATGATTAGAAGCCAAAACATTAAGCTGAAGATAGAGATGCTACTTGCACATTTAAAATGAGTACCCACTTGAAGATATTTCTGAACCAACTCTATGTGTAGTGATCATATAATTAAGGAGCTGAGAAACACAGGCAAGGCAAAGTCATCAGAGGGATTCCTCACTAGCAGGCCTTCAGTCTCCTACATTTTTGCCATGTGTTTAAAAAAAAAAGCCATACTGAAATTATGTTCTCCTTTTCTTTTTGTCCCTGTTTTTTTTTTAAATCGTTGTGTGAGTGTAATCTGTAAATAGGGGTTTTGGAGCAGACCAAGGACAAATGGTTTTGTAAATCCCTCTCTATGTTGTCATCAGTCGCTGTGTTTAGCAAGTAGATACTTAGAGTGATGGAACAGCCTTTCTTCTTCCTCAAAGTCATGAAGATCTGGAATAACTCCACATTCAAGTCAATGGGATCGTATTATGTAAATTAATATATGGGAAAGATGCATTAATCCTTTAATTTTTTTTTTTTAATTTTTTTAAAAAAAAGATGTAGGAAGGCTGGGAGGAGAGGGAGAGAAGTACAGGTGCATCACCTTTTGATTGTGTATCCTCCTTGACTGAATTAGTTTCATTGCTGTAATGAAGGTTGGATTCAACCCTGGATCTCTTGATAAAACACATAAATGCAGCAATCATAGCTGGTTCTTAAATTATGACTGCCTGTGAGAGCAGAGAAGGCAGATGATTTGCTTGATTGTTTTATTGTTGTTTACTGTGAAGAAACCTCTCTCTCACTGACACGCAGACTCATTTTCAGAATTAGAAAAGTGCTCTCAAAGAGGCAGAGAACCATGAGATATATCTGCAGCCTTCAGTATATTCCGTGTGATGAGCTAATAAGTGTCATTTGTAAGAAATGCAGAGACCCTCATTGTAAATAAATCTAGATTAAGGACAGATCAGTTCCAAGTCAGTGAATATTCATGTGTGAGTGGAAAGCCAAGGTGACCTCCACATAGGATCTATGGAATAGCAGTTTCTTTTTTTCTTCCATTAGCTCAGTTGATAATTCATTTTTATTTAGCCTTATCCTTGATAATTCATTCCTGCTTAGCTTTAGCCATATCCTTTATAATCCATTCCTGCCTAGCAGTACCCATTCTTTATCTCCATCCTATCCTCAGGAACTTGCCAAATCATTCTTCCAGGCTTTCTTCAACTATTCCAAATTTCAAGCACAATATTGCAGCAACATCCTTCAGCTTCTCATAATATAGCAAAACCTGCTGCTGGTACGGCTCAGAGATCCGATGGGAATGCAGCTATTGCCCCCATTCAAAGGAAAACACCCTTCTTGCCATTTTTATTCTGTATTTTGGATCAAGAAGAGTTATAGAGTCCTGATGGGAACATTAGAGGATGAGACCTAGATCCAGCAGAGGACTTCACTGCTTGATTCTTCCCTCTAAAGTAACTTCTGAATTATCAGATCCAACCCCCACTTCACAGATGTTCACGTAATGGCCAGAAGGATGCACAAAAACCCAAAATACTCAGAAGTTAACTATAGTACAATGCAGGAGGAGAGCTGGAGAAATCAAAAGCAGTGCCAGATGCTTAGATCTATCCTAGATCTGTGCAGGTACTCTCTTTAGGCATTACAAACCCAAGCTGCTAACCTCCAAAACCCCCACTCGGCTGATGTCCATCTATAGGACCTGTCTCCCAGGACACAGGCCATCAGGGGTTGATTTCATACGCAGCCTCTGGGGGTTCAGGCCCTCGTCTTCTACACGTAGGCCGTTATGGAGTAGAAGAGGGATTCCCTGGAATGTCTCCCTAGCCTCTTCCAGTCTGTGGGGAACATGCATTTGTTACCTGGGTTAGAGAGTGGAAGACCATGACTCCCAGTTCATCATTGCTGGAGGACATTCAGCTGAGAGCAAGTGACCTGCTGTCAACTTTGTGCTTCTACAAATGCTTATCCCGTTTATATTAAGTGCTCACTGAAACAGAGAGAGGAACCCACAACATTACTCTCCCATGTTTCTGTGGCCCTATTCCTGCTCTAATTAAGAGTCTGTACCCAAAAGCGCTCCCTTTCTGTCCTTCTGTGTGTCACCGTGGCTTCCTGATCTCTCCAGCCGGCACGGCAGTGCAAGTGAGCAATAGTGGCATGGGCCCGGGGTGTGGAGCACAGGCTTCCTTGAGATGATCTGAAAAAAACACCCAAGTACAAGAAAGCAGGAACTAGGAGAAAAAATTATCAGTTCAGACTTTTTTTCACCAGAAATCCAGCCAGGGCACAAGATAGAGATAATCCCTACTTCCCACTGTGTGTTGCACTTGGTGAATTATTTCAGCAGCAACCAAGGCTAAATGTTTAAGCACGTTGAAATCTTTCATTTGGAGAAATGTCTGGTTTTCCTCAACATCGCTAGACTAGCGATGCTGACTCTCTGATTTGTAATTTCATTTCTAAATTTACCCGTGTTTTGCAATGAGATGTTGGAAAAAGATTTTTAAAGAAGGAACTAAAAATCCAAACCAAACAAAAAGTATTTAGTGAGTGAATATTTGAAATGTTCTTGTATACAAAGTGTGTGTACACATTTTCTTGCCAGGAGAGGGTGTTATTGGGACTGTATACATATTGCTGATCTTAAATAGGAAAAAGTAGGAAGTGTGTCCTAGCTAATTTAAGCAGAAGGGACTTTACTGAATCCTGTGGAGTTGTGCCTGTGTTTCGGGAATCATTTTTACCCCTCAAGATTTTCTGCATGGCCCTGTGAAGGTGAATTTTCAGGGTCAGCATTTGAAAAATGTGAGTATCCTTGAGTTAATCAAGGCCAGATTACTTTTTTTCCAAGAAGTCACGTAAGCAGGGTCTGACAGTTTAAATTGCGAATGGGACCCAGAAAGGGTGGCCTGACTCCAGTGGCAGCTGATAAGCGTGCTGTGGCAGCCAGGGCGTGAAGTCTTAAGGAATTATTGGCAGCTTTAGCGGCTTTTATACAAGTAATGACTGAGCAGAATGTTAAGGGAAGATTCTGATCTCACTGACTGCTGTAAATTAGAAATAATCCCCATCACTTTGAAATGTGTTCCTGTACAATTTGTAGGAATGTGATCGTGACCGAAAGGCCTGGATTGGACTGTTGCCACGTATGACTCACTTCTTTATTTCATAACCTGAATTTCCAATATGTAAACAGACCTAGAGAGGTGCTGCCCCTTCCTACACCGAATTCTCTAGTGCCTTTTGTCCTTTCAGTTGTTAATGGCGCAGAATGTAGGGCTTCCACCACCTCCTGCTGAGACCTTTCAATGTCTGAGAGCTCTCGTTGTTATGAAGTGTTTCCTGATGTTCAACCTCTATTTCCCTTCGCTCAGCGTCATCCCCTTACTTGTAGTTAAATACTTTCAGATCAAAACAGTGACATGTAAAGGCAGACAGAAAAAACTGGCACACAAAGATAGCTTAGAGCAGGTTCGGAACAACCTGCGAAGTCTCCTCTGGTTCAGACTTCAAACAGGCCAGACAGAGCCCATCCTGGGCAGCCTTTACGTGCTCCGTCCCTTCTTGTGCTCTCGCCATCTGAGAGAGAGTTACAGATCTCAAAGGTTAGTGAGTAGTATCTAGATACATATACACACAACAGTACTATAAAGAGATTATTTCCACAAAGCCCATCATCATTTTTAAGTCCTTGCAAGCCCCAGTTTGGGCAATGCTGTATTTGCAGGCACACAAATGAGGCAGCGGGAGCGAAGGAGCAATACGTCCCTGCCTTCCTCTCTCTGTCTGCTCCTGTGCAGTCTTTGCTGGACAGCCTTCAGAGGAGCACGTTCACCGCTCTCCTGCCCTCCTTACAGCCCCTCCAAGCCCACAGAGGCACGCTGGTGAGCGTGCTGCAGTGCCCAGCTTGCTGTGCTGCTCCTTCTGGGCTGGATTTGTAAGCTTGCCCATTGCTTGGGCACGACGGCAGTGCCCACCGCAGCTTCGAGTGCATCTGCACCCTTGCTGAGTGCCCGCTACAGATGATGTGGAGATGGAAAACATCTGTGCTTTGGCACACCCCAGAACGCTTTCCTCCCTTTCTGAGGTTCTTCTCAGGGGAGGCAGACCATGTGGCACCTGTTCCCTGGGAGGGGATCTGTGGAGGTCCCTGAGCCAGTGGCGGGATGTTTGGCACAGGAGAGCGCCTTGCTCCTCAGCCTGGATTAATTTTAACTTGCTGTTTAAACAGATTACTTTGGTTTATGTAGGTATCTAGATATTTCTACCAAAGATTCCCATGGGTTACCACTTTGGCAGGTTTCAAGACTATTAAATTTACATGAAGGGAAAAATAAATATAATTGAGAAATATAATGAACACTATCCTTTTAAATTTCTTCCCATTCTTGTTATTTATGAGTCCTTTATATCGAGACTTGGTGCCCTTAATTATGTAATGTATAATAGTTAGCCTTAGCCTAATATTACATTACTGAATCCAAGAATGACATGAAAAGAAAAGATGCATGCAACCAACGTACTGTTTTCAAAGTGAGGACAGCCTGATGAGAAATCCTCCTGGGAAAAAAAAAATCACATCAGGGACTGAAACAGATCCTTCTTTTTTTTCTTCCTTTTTTTTTTCCCCCAGCAATAGAAGGTATCAAAAAATGAGCGTGATGAAAAGGACAACATTTCTCTCTCTTTCCTTTTTCTGATCTTTCTGTAGCCCAGAGTGCTAATCAGCCTGTCAATCTCTAATTAAAGAACAGCGGTGTCAGGCAGAAGAGAGCCCTGCTTGCTGAATGTTAACTAGTGAAGAGGATTTTGTGCATGGCAGTGACAGCAGAGAGCCATGTCAGGAGGTGGGCTGGGGCGCAGGGGAGCAGGTCTGATGGGCTGATGAGCATTTCTGAGCCTGGGACAGCGGCTGCTCAGGGATTGCTTGAGGGAAGAAGGAGCTGGGCAGACTGGGAGGTGTAACCTGCTGCAGCTCCATGCAGTGCCATGCTCTTCCTTGTTATGTTTGTGCTCCCAACAGCGTTTCTTTCTTCATGACGCTAATAAAAACCCTTTGGTTCCTCCCAGTTCCTCGTTACAGAAAGTGGTGGTCACCTATAGCATAACTGGGGAGCTGATGATCGACATCTTTCCGTAGCAGCAGCAACAGAAGAGCTGACCCTCTGCTGCAACAGTGGCAATTAGCCCTAGGACTTTCTATGTCATTCCAGTGCTGGCAAGCTCGAGGGAGCATGGAGCACACATCCAGCCTAGATCTGGGTGACCTTCTGCTCCCATTACTGCACACTAAGTAGTTGGACTCTGCCTGTGACTGCATGAAGAAAAGAGGAATCAGCTTTTTTTTTGCTGCCCTTTGTATGTATTTGTATGTAGCGGGATGCACAGAGAAAACCCTCGATGCAGGCTGGGGAGGGCTGAGTTTTTTTATTATAGGTTTAGACGATAACTCAGGTTGGAAGAGACCTCAGGAGGTCACATAGTCTTCTCTTGGCCATTTTGCTGCTGTGCTCTGCTGAAGTCAGAAGGATATATGCCAATTCAGAGTAACTAAAAGTTCAGCCTCTTCCTTTTTAGCAGTTTTTCTCTTTACTTACAGAAGGATATAGATGATCCAGCCTCTCTCAGAGTTGCTTGGGAAAAAATGGAAAAGGAAAAGAAGAGTATAGGACTAGAGGGATCCAGGCCTAGGACTGGCTTTAGAGAAAGGCATTGTGGAAAGCCTGCCTCAAGTCAGGACCAAGTATCAAGGCATGCTGGGGTAGTCATGTTAGCAGTGGAACAGAAAAGCAAATGCTTTGCTCTTTGCCCACCACCCTGCAACTGACCCCGTGAGCCCTCCCGGTAGGGACACTCCACTAGCAGAAGACAGTTCATGCTGTTTGAAGAGGTGGTATAACTGTGTCGGAAAAAAATGCCTTTCAAGGTTCACTGCATCTGCTCTAGGAGGCTCTAGCGGCACAACCAGGCTGGTGTATTGCTGCAGCAGCCGAGGGCTTGAGGAGCAGGCAGGGCCATGGAGATGCTGCTCTTGGGGGCTGAAGGCTGGCCAGCCAATGTGCTAGTCCAAAACTATTTGCTATATATATTTCCAAACTTGCTAACCCAGCATTGGAAATCATCTATTTCTAGCCTATAGACTGTATATATAAATTGTTTTCCCAACATAAAAAATGCAATACAAATCCAATCATTTCATATCTGAATTTTTTGTTTTATATTGCTTGCAGGGACTACACAGTTTGGATTCAGCTAATCAAGTAGAAGTGTTTACAGAGTCCTCTGTGTGTCCTCAGGCTTGAGATGCTACCACAGGAGTAAAAGACAAAACTGGCTTTCTATTTTTAGCAGCCAGCCTCTTCTAGGCTCGCCCCCTCTCATAAAAGCTCCCATCCATAGGCTTGTGTGAATCTTCTTCATATAAGTTATGTTTAGCCAGGAAAGCGCACAGTTTCTGGAGCCAGTGTGTTTTCTTCAGAAGCTTCTTGTTCCAGGGCTTGCATATACCTGAGCTGTCGCAGCAGCGCACGGGTCCCCAGTTTCTGACCAGGAGGGTCCACGGCTGAAATCAGACCCTGACACCACACTCTTGAGACATTGAATGATGCATGGCCCAACCCTTCTGGGAACGGCCCTCTGTGTTCCTGGGAAGTTATCCCTAATTAGGCCTTCAGATACCACAGCCACAGAAGTGAGATATAGAGGTGGATAAATACCTCGCTAAGGCGATTTGAAAGTCTGTGCTGCAGCATGATGATGCAGCGACTTAATGAAGTTGCCATTGTCACAGGGCCCAGAGACTCAGGCGGTCGCTTCCAATCAATGCTGAGAGGTTAATTACACATTTACCTGAACAGCAGTCTGAAATCCTCACCAAGAAATTAGGAGTGGGGATGACTCTTGGTTGCTTTGGCACCTACAAGTGTAAGCAGTACCAGAAAAGCATCTGTCTAGATGCCCTCCATAGCTGGCTGAACGTTTACAGGCTGCTTGCTGAGATTTTGGGATGGTCTTGTCCCAGAAATTGGTTCTAGTTTGGCATCAAAGCCAGAACTGCACTCGTTTCAGAGCCAAAAAGAAAAAAAAGAACACAAGCTTTTCTCTCACTTGCTCCTGAACCCTGCTCTTTACCTTTTAGCTGAAGTCGTCCTGATTCCTTCTGTGGTGTTGCAGTGAGAGATACACTGAGATGCCCACAGGGCAGGCGGTGGTGAATTCACCCATTTTTGATAAATAGATTTTAATTAACTTTTTAAAAAGTCCAGCTCATCCCAATTAGTGGAGGGTGACTGCATTTGTTCTCTCGGAGAGTGGGAGAGAGAGCACTGTGTTTTCAAGACCATCTGCTCATGAATCCTTAAAAAAAAAGGGAGAGGAAAACAAGCGTTAGCTGGAGGCAGAGAAAGGGTGAGGGCATTCTGGCAGCTGGCCAGGGAGGCCTCGCCAGCCGGGGGGCGCCCAGAGGCTGACAGAGGAGCTGGGGTGGTCCTGACAGATTTTTGGAGATGGGGAGCTCTAATGAGCTATGGGAAGAGGGACTGTAATTGCCTGAATGAGTGGGAAGAGAGGCAACAATCTGGAGGGGTGAGTTTTGGCAGCCTCATGTGTGGGGGAATTGATATGCTAGTGTAGATGGCTTTGGTAGCTGGCCTGGGATTTCAGGAGGGGAAGTGCTTTGGGCTGCTATTTTAGAGGGAGGGGATGCCAGGGAATTTGTTACCATGAATACAAAGCGGCTCTGTCGTGGGCTGGGCAGGAGGAAGGGGCTTTGCTCTCAAGACGCCACCAGCACCTGCAGCCAGATCCAGGGTCTGGGGGTACCTGGAGAGGGGACAGTGTGTGGAGCAGTTCTTTCCTCATTGCAATGTGAACCGTAATGACCGTGCTTCGAGTATCCACACTTACTTCATTTATTTCCCTTCCTTCAGAATTATCCCCTCTCTCTTCTGGTCTGAAGTCAGATGGGGTGGCTTTGAGAGCTGCAGAGGGGCCAAAATCTTGCTTAATTATTGCTTTTCCCCATCCTGCAAAGAGAAACGTATCCACTGCCCTGGCTGGGAGTGGCAGTTCACTCGGCCTCGTTCTCTGTGCCCTCTAGGGAGACGATATCTTGGACCGCAGCTCAGAGTTGATCTACACGGGAGAGATGTCCTGGATTTACCAGCCTTATGGACGGAACCAGCAGCGTGTTTTCTTTCTCTTTGATCACCAGATGGTTCTCTGCAAGAAGGTAAGGACATCCAGGGAGAAAGCAACACAGCTAAGGACATGCTGCGGACAGGCTTTCCAGTCCAAAGTGGTTTTTAGGGCAAGGTGGCTGTTTGCTACACGTGCAGCAGAGGACACGGATAGCACTGAGGAAGGGCAATCCACATGCTAGAAATACTGAATTACAGGATGGTGAGTATACAGTGATAGAGAGATTTTTATGCTCATAGAAAATCCAGCCTCCACTTGTTCATTTCATGCCTTTTTCTCATGTCCCCCGTGTTTGGCTCATTGCCTCACTTCTACTTTTGGGTTTTGGCTGCAGTAGATGATCTGGGATTAGATAGCCCTGGAATTTCTATATGAACTATGAAGCCTGGCACTTGAGCAGACAACTCAATTACTGCATTAAAATGATGATTACTGCCTCTCAAAGAAATATGAGGCAGCAGCCTAGTCTGTAGCAGGGTATATGTGCTGTCACTTGGTGAAATGCATTTTAAGCCTCATCCTCATGTAGCTGCTATGCTGGATTTTATCGGGCATATCTCTACCATGAAACTCATCATGAAAGTAGAGAAAGGTAGTGAAGAATACTGATGCTACTGTGTTGTAGTATTAATAGCAGCAGGTGAACTGTGTTTCAGAGCAACTGTGTTAAGCAGCAGCATCGTAGCTGTATTGTTGTAGTCCTCCTAAGGTGATCCCAGCTCATTACCATCACAGCTGTTCGAAGTGAAGTGACAAAGCTCGTAAGTCCTGGGTGCCTCTGTCTTCTGACAGGCTGGGATTCATTGACATTTTCACCGCAGCTATACAGATAACTGTGCTGAGGGTGTCCCCTGGTCCGACTTCAAGTGGGAGCGAGGGCAAGCTGCAGATGTCTCTGGCCAAACGCACCAGGGCTGTGTTCCTGTCACATCCTATATGCTAAGGAAGGGTTGAGTGAGACCCGCGCCATGTGGCAGCCCTCCGAGGAGTGCCCCGCCGCCGCCGGCAGGCGTGGGTGGCTCCTGACTCACCGCGGCATCACTGCCCGCTGCCACGGTATGCGGAACTGCGGCCTGTGCAGTTCAGTGGGTGGCACTTTCTTCTCCTGAGTCATGGTTGACTGAAATTTTGCCTTCTGGATTGCATGTGCTTATTTTTCCCCTCCTTGTTGCTGTGCCTTTTACTTCTTTCCTGACTCCGAAAAAAAAATAACGGTAGAGCAACAATAGCAAAGGTGGATGTTCAGAGAACTGTGAAAATGAGTCTGGAAGTATGCAACTGGATTTAATTTTTATTCTTGACCTCCTACACTTTGATTGTGACCCTGAATTTCTGATTCATAAGGCAGCATCCAGTTTGGCTTGCACTGGGTCTGATCCAGAGAGGTATCAAGCATTCCTTTAACTCCCAGGAAAATCAGAGCTGGGATTTCCATGGTCGTGAGTATGAGCGGAGTGTTCAGCAATTCACAGCAGGCTGCTGGGGGCTCGAAAGGTTGTATCGCTATGCAGACAGTGTTAATGTGACACCGTCCTCTTCCCTTACGTATTCAAAAGGCATTTTGTGGTGTGTGTGTGGCAATGCACAAGAGATGCCTTCACGGGAGAACACCCTGCAGAAGTTGACTGCCTCAGAGCCAGCACAGTGGTCTGGGTCTTCCTGGCAGAGAGATTGACTCCATGTCAGGATCTGGCAGGCTCTTTGCCGCTAGCCAAGGTCTTGTGGGACAGTGTGCCCCCTGAGCTTTAGGGTGACAGGGAAGAAGGTGGCAACTCATCTGGTGAGCCCGATATCATGGGCAAAGGGTTCCTACCTCGTTGTAGGTTCTCCTTCTGCATCTCTCTTTCCAGCATCAAACCGCAGTTGTTATTTTTCAGTGTTGGGGTAGGAGGGGAGATGGGGTTACAGCTGGACTCTTCCATCTTGATAATGTTTTCCTTGAACATTATTAAGAAAGATTATCAGAGTATGGAATTCAGAGGAGTGTTAACTCATGTTTTGAGATCATGCATCCTATATAAAATAAATCTGAATGATTTATAGCCTGTGTTGCCTTGACCCTTGTGTCAGGCTTTGCTGTTACGGATCCAAACAGGCAACCGTCTAGCAGGAGAACCTCTGCTTTAGAGCCAGAGCGCTATATCCTGGGGCATTCTTAATGAAGCACCATTTATATCATGGTGTGGGAAGCTGGGGCCAGCCTTCCTTACCCCATGCTTAAAAATTATACTCTGAGGGATATGAAATGTGACCCACACATCCCCAAGAGCAGTGAGAAGATAGTAGGTCTGCAGGGGTGCTGGTGCTCCAGCTCCGCCTGGCCAGGGGTGGGCAGAGCACCATGTCCTGGGGTCATCTGCAGCACAGTCATGGCAATTAAACTGCTTGAGAGTGGCGTGAACTTGGCGTGAATATGCTTTCATGTCCCACTTCAACAAACCCTCAGGGAATTGGAGTTGTCTGAGTCCAGAAGAGAAAGTTTGAGATTTTCAGAAGGTCTCAGAGTTCAGACTGGTCCAGGGCTGCCAGCTCCTCTGCCTTGTGTATAGGGAGAATAAAGTCCTTTAGAGGTTTCCAAAGCAGCAGATTGAACAGCATCCCTCTCGTTCCAAACACGAGCAGTGAGAAAATTCATGGACAAACTGAACTGTGTTTTGCATGAGGTTTGTTTAGTCAGTGAGTCTGATCAAAATTTTCAGCTTTGGTACCACTTATGATGGTACATCTCAGTGAATCTTCCTCTTAAGAAAATCTGCATATGTGGGTTTTCTTCAGATATAATAAATTAGTAGGTATGATATATCCTTAATCATGACACAGTCTATTTGAGAATACATTTCTTTTTTAATTACAATGGTTGAATTTTACCTCTTTATTGGTCAAAAGAGATTTTTAGTAGAAATAAGAAAGTAAAACCAATTCCTTATTTAAATATATCACAGATAATTTAGTTTGATGAAAGCATGCTAGATATCCTGAGAGGCTCTAGAAGACAAGCATATATTTCAAAGATCTCTCACTCCTGCAGATCTTCATTGCAGTTATCTGCACATCATCCTCACCTTCGTTACCTGTTGTCTCCCTGGTAGACGTTTGCAGCTGCAACAGCTCTGTGCTCTTGAATCCCCTAGTAATGCATATGGATTCTGTGGTTTGACAGATACTGATACGTGAGTTTCTAGTGGAACAGATACAGTTCGATAGCATAAACTCTGTGGCAGTTTTGGATGCTGGTATTCTTTGTCATTCCCTTTGAACTCCATTGTCTGCAAAACTTGTTCAACAGTGGGCTCACTGTCAGAGTCCTGCTCACTAGTTCATGCAGTGGAAGATGAAATAATTTCTATGTGGCAAAACTGACTGGAATCAGCTTCACGCTTGTAGGGCAGATTTGGTGATACCAGTAGATGCATGTTAGGTCCAGGAAGATGGTATATGAATTCCTACAATACCTGGAAAAGGGCTGGTGAACGCCAGTTTTCTTTTGCCGCAAAACTTCCAGCAGCATTCTGCTTCCAGCCAACTGATGTGCTGGATGTATCAGTCCCAAGAGAGCACACTGCTACGTGCATGTCCGCGACCCTTGCTCGTGTCTGTATTGCAAGCTGCTGATCCTCTGGGCTGGCAGTATTGCTGCTAAACCCAGGTGGAGTATTAAAAACTTCTATCTAAAGCCAAGGTAACAACTGACTTTGTACCCATTATTTAAGGTGAGCACTGTGTGCAAAGTAATGTGTCCCCCCATCCCCATATAAGTTTGGGTTTCTTCATAGCAGTTTTGCTATCAGCTAGTGAACAATGAAGACTGCTCCAGTTCAACTGCTCTGTGTCCTTTGTGTGGCTCTGAAGACAAGGTACAGCCCACAGTCTCAAAAACCATCTTTGTTTCTACCATTCATCTGTTGGATCAGGTTTGGTCCATCAGCTTTACAGGCAGGTGGTGTAGGAAGGTTAACTGTTGTATGCTACCAAGAATTACCGTGTTCCTTTTTCCTACTGATCCGTCCAAGTGTTGCCTGTGTCTAAGGAAAACAGTCTATTGGCTATGGAGGTGTTTCTAGTATCCAGCTATCTGCTTTCAGCAGCAGTTAACGTATTTCCAAATAAACCCCTGTCTGATTCGAATATGACCTGCTTTCCAGAAGCTTTGCCATCCCTTTCTGTTGATGTCTGAAAATGTTTTAAGGTTACGGGGCCTTTTGTTGTTGGACATCTGGCCAAGACATTTCTACGAGGAAGGATAACTCTGTCAGGGTGATTCTTCTTGAGATTATCACCTAGTTGTTCCCCTGCTTGATATGCCTGCAGAAGATCATCAGTAGTGCCAGGCCAGCCATCTGACAGACGGGAGCTCACTGATCAACATTTACTGTATTTATTAGTTGTTCTGAAATATTTCAAGCAGGGTTTCGGCATCTGCCTGGCCTTTTGAAATCGTAGGTGTCCACAGATCTCTGCAGGTTGGAATCACCCCCTCATACCCTATTGCTTGCTCGTCTCATAAAGGTGATGTGCTACTCAGCAGATGGGTGGGATGGACTGAGAGCTGCCAGTGGAAGCAGCTCCTTGAACATGAACATCCTTGTTGTCTTCCCACTGGCTGCATCTCCTAGGATTTTTCCAAGGGCTTTTGCAGTGTGAGCTGAGCCAAGGGTTTGTCTTTGCCAATGGGCATATGGGCAGCTGGGTGATTACTGGGTTGATGGTTTGTTTGCATACAAAGAACCAGATATTAGTATAGTCATTAATATGACTATATTGAACTATATGACCATATTAATATGACTGTAACAAGCTAGTCATTAATAGAGTTCAGCTGTCAGGAAAGGAGTGATGGCACTGGTCAGATCCAGCGACAAAGCTCAGACCCTTCCCTGGTTGTCAGTGTCAGTGCCACTGCCTCAGGCTGAGAAATCCCGAATGCATTTCCATGACCACCACGTCTTGGAGAACTGACGAGATTTCAGACAGAGACCTAGTTTGTGAAAATGAGTAATTATAAAAGACTGCATTCAAAAGTGCTTGACAGAT